TGACCATGAATTTATTGCGATAAACGATACTATTGACATCTTGAGACCAATTTCAACTAATATAATGACCATGGAATAAAAATTCTAATACATCCTCTCAATGAACAATAAACCTTACTAAAGAACATTTAACACAGGAACTGCAAGACAAACAAAAACAACAGGCCTAAATAAAACAGACTTAACACAGGATTAATCTAATGTGTCTGACTCACAGTGAGGAGATGTTCACAAAAATGTACCTGAATAAACCACTGTTTGAACCAAACACAACCAAAGAGTTAAATAAAATGGATCATTAAGTCTCTGTAACAAAATTGTCCTTAAAAGTGATTTTAGTGATTGTCTTACACTGGTGTGTAGTGGTCACTCTCTCTGTGGCTGCTGCTGTGAGACTCGTCATTTTGGTCATTTAAATGTTCGTATTAACGCGACACAGGAAGTTATTCCACTATGAGGGAGCCTCTGTCTTGTCTGGTGTCGTCTCGGGTCAGTTTTCGGGTTTGGGTTCTCCTGGGAGCGGGGCTAGTTCTGTCACTTGGGTTTGGGTTTATATCGACTGTTCGGGTTTGAGACATTTCTTCTTGTCGTTCACGTTTCGCTCGCTGTATTTGACGCACGTGGCCGTTGAGACGTGTCCCGCTCACTAGTGCTGATTCGGCCTTTTGACTTGTTTTGGCGATGAACGGAGATGAACAGTTTTGTTACTCTGACAGCGGCACTAGCTTGTGTTGTTAGCGCACCGCTCAGATTACGCGCGCATCCGCTCTGTTGATAAACACGGCGCACGTTGGTTCAAGCGTCATTACACTTGGTAAACGAGAAGAGAGAGCGACAGAAGCGTCTAACATTCAGTTTCTTTGAGAGCGAGCGAGAAAGAGCGAGAGGAAAACAAACAAGCTGCAAATAGAATTTAACGTGGCTGGAAAAGTTATAGAGCTTGTTAAAAGTTATCGTACGATTAATCGATTTATTGATTATCGTTACAGGCCTAGTCCCTATGCTCCTGTATCTGATGTTTTAATGAGTCTGAACCACACAGATCCGATTTATTTATTTTTTTCAAATGTGACTCAGGACACTTGGATCTGTGCTCCTAAAACCCAAACAGATCTGATCTTTTGTCTGAACGGTCAGGTCACATTCATCCACCTACACGTCCGGCTCAGAGTCTCGTCAGTGGAGGGAAAGTGACGTTAGTGAGTTCATATTTGTGAGGATCGCTGTGTTCAGGTCTTATCGGAACCAAGAAATGTCTGAGCGCGGCTACAGTCGGTCCTCGCTCCAACGTCAACGAAAAACAAAGAGCCTGTGAGACCAATACAAGGAGGATAAAGACTCAAACAAACGAAGCGGCCGTGGACGTGTCACCTGGACATTTGACCAACAACTGGACCGGATTTTGGAAGACGAGCCCAGAGTTTAGGAGCTTTTGAAGTTCACACTGGAGATCACGTACAAGTCGCGTTTAACTGGAAATGTGAACGACCTCACAAAAAAAACAAACGTATTTCACAAAAATGTCCAAATTGAACATTAAGCCCTGCAGTCTAAACGGAACCTAAATGACCTAAAAAAACCTTTAAAAAATGCCAAGATGGGACTTTTGGCTCTTTTATTGGATCCAAAATGCTTGGTTCCGTTCAAAAGTCCGTGTCTTTTTTTATTTATTCACCCTGCGCCCACAAAATTATGGAATGAACTGAGCCGTACTCCAGGAAACCGCGCTCCTGAACCTCTTGGAACTCTAAACACCCGATGCCGCCTTTTTTGTGAAATCCAAAAAGTTGGAATTCACAAAAAAGTTCAAATTGAGGATTACACCCTGCAGTCTAAAAGGAGCCTAAATGTGACCTAAAAAAAACACCGAGATGGGACTTTAGGCTCTTTTATGGATCCGAATCACTTGGTTCCGTTCAAAAGTCCGTCTCTTTTTTATTTATATTTTAATTTATATGATTACAAATGAATCAGAGAAATGTCCACTGGTTTCTTTGGATCGTTTTCGTTATCGGGCTTGAAAAAAACCTCTTCGATCTTTACCAGGACACTTCACCCTGCGCCCACAAAATTACGGAATGAACTGAGCCGTACTCCAGGAAACCGCGCTCCTGAAGCTCTTGGAACTCTAATCACACAACGCTGACTTTTTTGTGAAATCCAAAAAATGCAAATTTTAAAAAGTCCAAATTGAGGTTTAAGCCCTGCAGTCTAAAAGGAGCCTAAATGTGACCTAAAAAAAACACAGAGATGGGACTTTAGGCTCTTTTATGGATTCGAATCACTTGGTTCCGTTCAAAAGTCCGTCTCTTTTTTATTTATTTATATGACTACAAATGAATCAGAGAAATGCCCATTGGTTTCTCTGGATTGTTTTTGTTATCAGCCTTGAAAAAAACCTCTTCTGTCTGTACCAGGACACTTCACGCTTCGCCCACAACGACACAAAGGCCAAATCACGGAATGAACTGAGCCGTACTGCAGGAAACCGCGCTCCTGAACCTCTTGGAACTCTAATCACCATACGCCGACTTTTTTGTGAAATCCAAAAAAAATGGATTTCACAAAAAAGTCCAAATTGAGGTTTAAGCCCTGCAGTCTAAAAGGAGCCAAGATGTGACCTAAAAAAAACGCAGATAGGGGACTTTAGCCTGTTTTATGGATCCGAATCACTTGGTTCTGTGCAAAAGTCAGTCTTTTTTATTTATATGATTACAAATGAATCAGAGAAATGTCCATTGGATCGTTTTCTTTATCAGCCTTGAGAAAACCTTAAATTTTTACCAGGACACTTCACCCTGCGCCCACAAAATTACAGAATGAACTGAGCCGTACTCCAGGAAACCGCGCTTCCGACGCTCTTGGAACTCTAAACACCCGACGCCGTGAGACTTCTGAGAATGTGATCACACAAACGAGCTGCTCCGACCGGTTTGTGTTACGGCATCGACTTCGATTGCTCTACTTAAGATCAAATTACGTTTTATTACCAAACGTCGCCTTTGATTTATGTCTCTCAGGATCTGTGCCACTGGACGAAAAGCACGACGCGTGAAAGGCCTAGAAAGTTCCACAGTATGTCTTTATTATTACGCTTTTATACTTTTATATCCACGGAGACCTGCAGGTGGCGCTACCAGGCGAAGTCTAATGCCGTACAGTGGAACATTCAAAGTAAAGGCAGTAACGTCGGCGTGGAAACGAGCAGACGGCCGACGGTCTGCTGGGGAAAAAAAATTACTGTGCGATTTGTTCTTTTTGAATTTCAATTAAGAATGAAAAACGATAAAATGTGAAAACAGTTTATTTAATTTTTCTGTTTTAGTGTCAAACAAAAAAGCAGATTTCAACCTCTATTTCCAGTATTTAATTTAAAGTTTATTTCAAAAAACAAAAATCTCGGTGCCGATTTAAAGTTTCATATTTTATTTTCTGGTTTATTTGTCCCGGAAGTTTTGCTGCTGAAGAACGAACCTGAAAAATCGTTGCAGTTTCGTGGACAAACATGTTTCTTCTTCTACAGCGACGCGTTTATTTTCACGTCTGAGAAAGTCGTTGTTGATCCATGACAAAAAAAACGGGAAGCAGCAAGAAACTCTCCTTTGTTCAAATCAAAATATCAAAATTTTAAATGTGCCGAGATCTCTTTAACTTTAAATTAAATATTGGAAATCAAGGTCGAAATCTTTTTTTTTTGTTTGACACTAAAATAGAAAAATTAAATAACAAACTGTTTTCACATTTTATTGTTTTTCGTTCTTAATTGAAATTCAAAAGAACAGTAAGTTACACAGTGCACTTTTAATTTAGTTTTAGTTTTAGTTTCTGTCTTTGCTTTTAAAACATTTTTGTTTTTGTTCCACATCTTTCTCAAGTTTTGTTTGTTGCCGTTTCTTTTGGTTCTGATTCTCCTGCAGCTTTGTCAAAACTTGAAGCACAAACAAGAAAAAATCAGAACCGAAAAAAAAAAACAAAAAAAAAACAAAACAAACAAAAAACAAAAACAAAACAAAACTGACAAACAAAAACAGAAAAAAAAAATAAGAGGCAACGACAGATATTTTACACGATTACACAAATAATTTGATTGGAATCTTATTTACTTTATTAAAACATTTTATTAGATTTTTATTATTATTTTTTGGTATTTTGATTTATAATTTTTTTCTTGACGTTTTAAAATCTTTCCTTTGAAATATTTGACTCAAAGTTGATTGATTCTCTTCGTGTGAAAAGTGTAAAATATGAAAGTTCTGACGCCAAAGACCTTGTTGTTTTTGGAATGTTTTATTTCATTATTTTAGGGGATGTTTTACTGATGATTTAGGAATCTTTTGTTTTATTTTAGGGAATATTGTAGGAAAGTTTTAGGGATGTGGGTTTCTCAGACGTGAATCAAAAGAAACACGACTCCAGGTGTGTGTGTGTTTTTTGTGTGTGTGTGTGTGTGTGTGTTTTTTTTGTGTGTGTGTGGACTAAACGTCGTTCAAACGTGGGTTAAATCTGACAAAGTCTATTTCGGGCAGCGTGGGACCTTTTTTTAAAATGGACCAGTTGTGTTTTTCAGTAAAAATGGGGCACAGAGTGGTTTAATTCAGCCAAACTATTCTTAGAAAAACCTCCAAAGGCCAAATAGAAAAGTAATTGTTGAGTACAACAGCAGCAGCAGCAGCAGCAGCTCTGGTCTCCTAACCCGTCTAACCTCTTTACCTGACCTCCATAACCGAACGTAACCTCCACTTTACGCCGCCTTTCACGTCTGTTCCGTAACGCCGCCGTAACGTCTGAGTCACCTGAACCGCTCGGCTGCAGCCTTTTATAACCAAAACGTCATAACCGCGCCTTTTGTTTTGAGGGATCGGGTTACACAGCAGTCGTGTTATGTCTTTGACCTACTTCTGACGATCTGCCAAAGTCCCGCCCGCCTCCTGACCTGCTCCCTCTCTCTCTCTGTGTGTGTGTGTGTGTGTGTGTGTGTGTGTGTGTGTGCGCGTGCGCAGCGCCCTCCACTGGACGGCTCCTGGTACAACGCGCAGAGCTGCACATGGAGATGCTGAACTACAGTCAGGCCGTGCAGGACGCCAGCGGCCTGTGTCGCATCGCCCCCCACTGGACCAAGGTGAGAAGAGCAGCAGCAGCAGCACGCCGAGGAAGACGTGGGTTTGTTTATTCTAGGAGGGTTTAGGAATGAGGTTTTATTTCATTGTTTTGGAGATGTTTTTGTCATATTTTAGGGATGTTTTGAGAATATTATAGGAATGTTTTGGTGATGTTTTAGGAATGTTTTTTGGGAGGTTTTTAAGGTAGGTTTTACGGATGTTTTAATTTCATTATTTTAGGACGTTTTAGGAATGTTGTCCTGTTAATGTTGAATTATCTGTTACATAAAGGTGAGCTGTACAGTTGTGGGGAGTATTATCTGTCGCGGGACAGTTGTGGGGAGTATTATCTGTCGCGGGACAGTTGTAGGGAGTATTATCTGTCGCGGGACAGTTGTAGGGAGTATTATCTGTCGCGGGACAGTTGTGGGAGTATTATTGCGGGACAGTTGTGGGGAGTATTTTAGTTGTGGGGAGTATTTATCTGTCGCGGGACAGTTGTGGGGAGTATTATCTGTCGCGGGACAGTTTTGGGGAGTTTTATCTTTTGGGGAAGTTGTGGGGAGTATTATCTGTCGCGGGACAGTTGTGGGGAGTATTATCTGTCGCGGGACAGTTGTAGGGAGTATTATCTGTAGTTGTGGGAGTATTATCTGTCGCGGGACAGTTGTGGGGAGTATTATCTGTCGCGGGACAGTTGTGGGGAGTATTATCTGTCGCGGGACAGTTGTAGGGAGTATTATCTGTCGCGGGACAGTTGTGGGGAGTATTATCTGTCGCGGGACAGTTGTGGGGAGTATTATCTGTCGCGGGACAGTTGTGTATTATCTGTCGCGGGACAGTTGTGGGGAGTATTATCTGTCGCGGGACAGTTGTAGGGAGTATTATCTGTCGCGGGACAGTTGTGGGGAGTATTATCTGTCGCGGGACAGTTGTGGGGAGTATTATCTGTCGCGGGACAGTTGTGGGGAGTATTATCTGTCGCGGGACAGTTGTGGGGAGTATTATCTGTGCGGGACAGTTGTGGGGAGTATTGTAGGGAGTATTATCTGTCGCGGGACAGTTGTAGGGAGTATTATCTGTCGCGGGACAGTTGTGTGACAGTGTGTTGTGTGTTGTGTGTGTTTTTCAGGCTCACTACCTGAAGGCCACAGCTCTGACTCGAGCGTCGCGCACGGACGAGGCGCTGCAGGAGTACTTCCTGTGTGTGGCGCTCAAACCGGACTGGACCAAAGCCAAACTGGAGGCGCAGAAGGTAACGAGGCATCGGGGGGGCATCGGGGGGGGCATCGGGGCATCGGGGGGGCAGGGGAGGGCAGGGGGATCTCCTTCTCCTGGTTCTTGGTACATGGAGAAGAACCTGATCTGTGGTCAGACCAGAAAGACGTTTAAAACCAAATAAGAGCCTGAAGGATCCACTCAGTCCACTTCTTTACAGTCTGTGGGTTTGTGTCTCCACTAGAGACGGGCATTCGATGAAATTTTCTTAATCGATCGTTGGAAGAATTAACGATCGATTATCGATTAATCATTAACGTTTTTCTATTAAAATGATCATCATTATTATTACTATCTGCACTAATCTGCATCAATAAATTCAACTTTACGACATATAAACATAACGACTCTAGATCCACATCAGCTGTTTGACATTATAATGTGTTTAATTCAGTTTTGTTCAAATCTCACAGAAACAAAACTTAAAACCACATCACTAATTTACATAAACTAAGTGAAGATAAAACTCCAGCTCTTGTGTCGCTGATGTGGTTCAACTTGTGTTGGATTAAAAGACATGACTCAGGTGAATACAGGTCAGTGTGACCAGATTTGTGTTTGTCAAAACCAGGACAGCGTACGGGGGGAGGGGGGCGGGGCCTCGTCATCCACATTGAGCGACTCTCACCTGGAAAAACTTTTTCCCACTGGACACAGAAACATATGTGCTGCTTTATCCACTGTGCACATGGACTCACACTTGTCCCAACGCAACGGAAAGTGTGGAATTTCTTCTACAAATCCTGGTTAAATCCACATTTGTGCTTCGGTTCGTTACAGACTGACCCACTGTTTGTGTCTCGCTCCTTCTGATGCAGAGACACATGTACACACCTGTTTGGTCACGACACACACAAACATACATTCAGTTTGTCCATTAAAATGAACGGAATCGATGAAACTCTTAATGATCAATTATCGATTAATCCTGCCCATCCCTAGTCTGTACTGAACAGTAAAACATCAGGATTCTCTGTGTGTGTTTTTGTTTTGGTCAGAGTTTGTCCAGTTTTCTTTCAGAAACAGAAAACAGCTCCACAGAGACTCGCCGCTGAAATATTCTAACAGACGAGGGTTTGATTTTTCGTTCACAGACCCTGGGAGACGGCAAAGAGATTCACTTTAAATACTTCAGAATCACTTTTGGCTTCACATCGGTTTTAGAAAAAGACTGAGACATTTCTATATGATACAACATAAACTGAGAGTTCAGAAAGAAAACATTCCTAAAACTTCCCTAAAATAATGAAACAAAACATCTGTAAAACATCCGCGGGCTTTAATCAAACTCGCTCGTGTTCGCCGCTCGTCATATAAACACTTTCTCTTTTTCTCACACTCGTCTCAGAAGGTTGAGTCAGAAAATGCATGGAACAGAACAGAGTCTGAGTCCAGAAAGACGTGTGTGTGTGTGTGTGTGTGTGTGTGTGTGTGTGTGTGTGTGTGTGTGTGAGTGTGTGAGTGTGTGAGCGTGTGAGCGTGTGAGCGCAGACTGGAGGGGGAGGAGCCTCGTACCGTCTCTGTGTGAAGAGTCGACTGGTTTATTATCAAATATAAAACAGTCTGAGAAACTCTGCTCTAGGGCTGGTATCATTAAGGAGTTGCCGATACGATACACACCTCGATACGCAGGCCACGATACGATACACACCTCGATACGCAGGCCACGATACGATACACACCTCGATACGCAGGCCACGATACGATACACACCTCGATACTCAGGCCACGATACGATACACGATACACACTCGATACACAGGCCACGATACGATACACACCTCGATACGCAGGCCACGATACGATACACACCTCGATACGCAGGCCACGATACGATACACACCTCGATACGCAGGCCACGATACGATACATACCTCGATACAGTGCACTTTCGATTCGATATGATATATTTCAAATCGATTCGATACGGTTCAATAAAAAATAAAGGCTAAATCGTGGCTGTGATACTAAAAGTCTTTGTTAAATCACTTTTTGTGCAAAGTTCATATGAAACACAAACATTTTAATCATCAAAACAGTAAAAATGTCAAATGTGTCACATAAATGAGTTTCCTTTCACTCCACAAACAACAAAACTGTAGCTGTAACAAAATAATTTAGTAAAACACACCTAAAAATACTCTAAGTCAGGGGTGTCAAACTCATTTTGGTCCGGGGGTCGTGTCCAACCGACTCTGATCCTAAAGTGTCCGGATCAGAAAACTCATGACATATAAACCCCAAAAATAACAATAAGTTCAAATATTTTTGTAAGGAAACCCAAATCTATTACAGAAATCTTTTTTAATTGTGGAACTCTGTTCATAATATTTTGTAAAAGAAAATCTGAAACTTTAAGAAAAATGCAATTTCAACACAAAGTTTGAACATGAACTTGTCTGTAAACAGGAATAAGTCCATTTTTGTTGTAAAATCCTGCACTCGGCTCCACTTTTCTCATGTTGGACATTTTTCTGATGAGGGTGTCACGGTCAACAGTCAAAACGATCGTCCTTTAAGAGCGTTTGGAAAGAGACAAGTCTTCATTTGTGCTGCTCTGGTGGGAGGGGCCACGTACAGAGACGCTGGAGACGCTGCTGTGATAAACACCACACAAAATTAACAAGATTTTAATAGAAAATATAATTTAAAATATTTAATAGAAAATCAGCCGAGGGCCAGATTAAAGGTCTTGGAGGGCCAGATCTGGCCCCCGGGCCATATGTTTGACACCTGTGCTCTAGGTGAAATATCGATGCAGTAGCAAACGATATCAATACGGTATCATCACAATAAACGATATGATATATCGATATTCCGATATTTTTGCACAGCCCTACTCTGCTCTGATTTTCACTGAAGAAAAATGAACTAAACACTTGACACAAAAACTCCAGCTGTGCACCTGTTGTGTTTTTAACATCAGTTTTTTTTTTTTTTTTTTTTTCTCATGAGCAGAAAAAAATCACATGAGGTTTTTCTTTTTTTCGTCTTAAATGTATCGAAATCAAATCGATATCGTGACCCGAGTATTGAGATATGTGTTGAATCGTGGGAAAACTGTGTCATTGCATCTGTGGTAAAAAGGCTCCGTGTGTGTGTTTGTGTCACATTGGATCAGTGAGAGTGAAGTGTAAACACACACACACAGACACACACACACACACACACACACACACACACACAGACACACACACACACACACACACACACACACAGACACACACACACACACACACACAGACACACACACACACACACACACACACACACACAGACACACACACACAGACACACACACACAGACACACACACATCACACACACACACACACACAGACACACACACAGACACACACACACCACACACACACACACACACACACACACACACACACACACACACACACACACAGACACACACACAAGACACACACACAGCACACACACACACACACACACACAGACACACACACACACACACACACACACACACACAGACACACACACACAGACACACACACACACACACACACACAGACACACACACACAGACACACACACACACACACACACACAGACACACACACACACACACACACACACACACACACACACAGACACACACACACACAGACACACACACACACAGACACACACACACAGACACACACACACACACAGACACACACACACACAGACACAGACACACACACACACACAGACACACACACACACACACACACACACATGACACAGACACACACACACACACACACACAGACACACAGACACACACACACACACACACACACACACACACACACACACACACACAGACACACACACACACACACACAGACACACACAGACACAGACACACACACAGACACACACACACACACCACACACACAGACACACACACACACACACACACACACAGACACACACACACACACACACACAGACACACACACACACACACAGACACACACAGACACACACACACAGACACACAGACACACACAGACACACACACACACACACAGAGACACAGACACACACACACACACACACACAGACACAGACACACACACAGACACACACACAACAGACACACACACACACAGACACACACACACACACACGGCTGACATTCTACAGAGGAAGAAGACTGAACCTGGACTTTACAGACTCATGTTCTGCTCCTGTAGAAACAAATGTTCAGTTTGTAAAACAGACGTGACACTTTCATTTACATTTACAATAAAACTCACTATATTCTACTTTGGAATTCATGAATTGGTTATGTGTAAAACATGAGATTAATCATGATTAATCACAGAAACTTGTGGGATTAAGATTCTTATTTCTGTCCAGGTGTAAATTTTTTATGTATTTTTTTAAAATTGGCGCCTCCCTCGGGAGGTGTTCTGGGCATGTCCCACTGGGAGGAGGCCCCGGGGAAGACCCAGGACACGCTGGAGGGACTATGTCTCTCGACTGGCCTGGGAACGTCTCGGGATCCCCCTGGAAGAGCTGGAGGAAGTGTGTGTGGAGAGGGAAGTCTGGGAGGCCCTCCTCAGACTGTTGCCCCCGCGACCCGACCTTGGATAAGCGGAAGAAAATGGATGGATGGATTTTATTTTTAATATATTATCTGTGACATAAGGGTGAGTTGTGGTACAGTTGTAGGGAGTATTATCTGTGACATAAGGGTGAGTTGTGGTACAGTTGTAGGGAGTATTATCTGTTGCATAAGGGTGAGTTGTGGTACAGTTGTAGGGAGTATTATCTGTGACATAAGGGTGAGTTGTGGTACAGTTGTAGGGAGTATTATCTGTGACATAACGGTGGTGGTGTTATACAGTTGTAGGGAGTATTATCGCTGACCTCTGTGTGTCTGTGTTGCAGGTTCTGAGTGATCTGTTCTCATCGGTGTTCGAGCGCGAGGACATGCCCACGCCCCTGCACCCGCTCCAGGGGGGTCTGGCCACCCGCCTCATCAAACCCGCCGCTCTGCTGGGGTCCCTGAAGGCCCCCGGGCACCGAGCGGGGGGACCCTCCTCCTCCTCGTCCTCCTCTTCCTCACAGGTACCACACACTCACACACACACGAGTACGAGTACAGCAGGAGTCTCCACAAACTGAAGGAGTTTAGAACGATACAAAACACTCAACAACGGCCGCGTTTACAGGAGAGATTTAAGTCTGAAGAAAAATAATTTAATTCTGAATCAAAATTCCTCTTTAAAGTCCATTTAAACACTTATTTCCTAATGAAAATGATTATTCAGATTTTTTATTATTATTATTTTTTTAAACTTTTTTTTTTTTTCTTTTCAAAAGAACATAACAACTTTCCCTGAGACAAGAGTATAGAATATTACTTATACAAATGCACTATACAAATCCCAGTAAGTGTGTGGTATACATTATAATGATAAAAAAAAAGTTAATCATATTAGCCCAAATAATAAAATAAATAAATAAATTGAGATTATATTTAAAATTAAATAAATTCAATACGTACATAAAAAAATACATATAAATATATATATATATATATATATATATATATATATATATATATATATATATATATATGTGTATATATATATATATATATATAATGTAATGTAATAATAATAATAATAATAATAATAATAATAAATTGAATGATTATTCAGATTTAAACTTAATTCTGAAGTAAGCCAGTGGTTTATTCCGATTTTAAAGCTGAATTAATTTATTCCTGGATCCTTCAAGATCTTTCAAAAAGGTAATTATAAGAATATAATTAATTAAATTTACCCGTTACTTTCCCCCTGAAAGTTGCTGCTTTAGTTCCTGTGTGATGAAAATTCTATTAAATGACAAAACAAAATCTCCTGAGAAACACTTGGTGCAGTTTAAACAGTAAAATGAGCTCAGTCTGCCTCATCTCGTCTCACCAAATGCACCAGAGTCAGAGTGTTTGAAGCTCTTCTCCTCCACACAGATCCAGACTCTGTTGGTTTTTGTAAAGTTTAGTAAAAGCTCGTGTGCGGTCGGGAAGCGTCTGCTCTGTAACTCCGAGCTGTTTCTCCTGCAGGACTCTGAGCTGAGCGTGAGTAAAACTGCTCCTCCTGAAGACTCCAGACTGACTCTGCCTCCGGGCGCCGACCCGCCGGACACGGGGCCCGGAGGCTCCAAGAGTCGGGCGGGCGTCCTGGCCGCTCTGCCCGCGCCCCCTGGTGGCCTTAAGAGGAAACACAGCGGAGAGGGGCCCTCAGGAGCCCCGTCGAAACTGCTCAAGACGGGTGAGACGCCACTCAGACCACACTCACACTGCAACTTCAACAACACTGTATGAAAACTGGACTTTTCTGAGATGTTTGTATTTTATTATTATTACTAGTAGTAGTACTTTTTTTTTTTTTTAATTTAATTAAATTTTATTTTAAAAGATTTTTAATAAAATGTTTTATTATTTTTTATATTTTAATGTTTTTTTAAATAATAAGCAGAAGAATATATATATATATATAATATATAAAATATATATTTTCGATTTTGATATTATATTTAATTGTTTATATATATTTTTTTATTTCAATATAAAATAATACACAATAATTTCAATATAAAAATAAATAAAATAATATAAATAAAATAATATACAATAATTTCAATATAAAGTAATATATTTATTTTCATATAAAATATAATTTTCTTTTTTTTTTTAGACTTTCACTGGACTTTTTTGAGATTTTTGTTCTATATAACCGTATTCTCACGTCAAAACTTGGAGTTGTATTTTGCTTCATTCGTTTCATTAATACCCTTTGTTTGATTCACATGTTTAACTCTTTATTATGAATCTGTCTACATCTCCAAAGCTCCAAACGCTCTGTTCCACCTTGTGATGTCATGAAGTGATCGTTTTCAAGTGAAACAAAACACACTCTTTGTGTTTTGTTTTTTTTTTGTTGAATTTTTGGACAATTTTCAACTTTATCGCTCATTCGCTAAAGTGCACACTGTCTCCACGATAACTGCTGAACATTCCGCCATAGAGATACATGTGGAGCACCCCCAGAGTGACGTCACTGCAGAGTATCCACTATCCACTTCTTGTACTTTAATTTATTAGAGACTCCGGGCAATTTCAGGCCTGAAACGATCCAGGTGATTCTAGTGAAGGTGTGTGGAGTTTAAAAACACAGTGGAGCGCTTGCTGTATCGCCACATGATGACTTCACAAGGTGGAACAGAGTGTTTTCAGTTTGGGAGAAGAGTTTAACATGTGGGAATGAAACAGAAACACAAGTCCAGGTCTGTTTTGTGACGAGGAAACTGGTCTCCCTCATGCTGATGTTGTGTGTTTGTGTGTTTTGTGTGTGTGTGTGTGTGTGTGTGTGTGTGTGTGTGTGTGTGTGTGTGTGTGTGTGTGTTGTGTGTGTGTGTGTGTGTGTGTGTGTGTGTGTGTGTGTGTGTGTGTGTGTGTGTGTGTGTGTGTGTGTGTGTGTGTGTGTGTGTGTGTGTGTGTGTCTGTGTGTGTGTGTTGTGTGTGTGTGTGTGTGTGTGTGTGTGTGTGTGTGTGTGTGTGTGTGTGTGTGTGTGTGTGTGTGTGTGTGTGTGTGTGTGTGTGTGTGTGTGTGTGTGTGTGTGTGTGTGTGTGTGTGTGTGTGTGTGTGTGTGTGTGTGTGTGTGTGTTCAGGAGGTGGTCAGGGGGCGCCGCTGTGCGGGGGCAGGCTGGTCCCGGCCGAGCTGCTGGACAGTGGAGACCTGGAGTGTTCTCTGTGCATGAGGTGAGCTCTCTGAACACTAGCATGCTACACACACACTTCCTGACTCCCGGGCAGTAAAACGCTTCATGATTGGACGCGGACAACAGCCGACTTATTTTAACCTCAGGAGCTGCTTATGCGACGTGCCACAGGAGACTGAAGGGGATTTAAATCGTTTAAAATCCCTTTATCTTTTTCTATTTAAAGTTCCAACTTTATTTTTCTGACACATTTTCCCGACACAGAGACGCACAAGAGAAACCAACACACAAATCAAATTATAAGCATGAAATAATAAATAATCAGTTAATAAAAAATATTTGAAAATACTAAAATTAGAAAAACAGCAAATAAAATCGATGAAAGACACGACTCTCACACCGTGTTAAAATCTCCTCCTCTCCTCTCTCGTCTTTCCTCTATTCTCTCCTTTCCTTCTCTCCTTCACTCCTTCTCTTCTCTCCTCTTTTCTCTCCTTCTTTCCTTCTCTCCTTCCTTCTCTCATCTCTCCTCTCGTTCTCTCCTCTCTTCTCTCTTCCCTCTCTTCTCTCTCTCTCTTCCTCCTTCTCTTCTCTCGTCTCTCTCCTCTCGTTCTCTCTCTCTTCTCTCATCTCGTCTCTCCCTCTCTTCTCTCCTTCCTTCTCTCATCTCTTCTCTCTTCTCCTTCTCTTCTCTCCTTCTTTTCTTCTCTTCTCTCCTCTCCTTCCTTCTCTCATCTCTCCTCTCCTTCTCGTCTCTCCGCCTCTCCTCTTCTTCTCTTCTCTCATTCTCTCTTCTCTCGTCTTCTCTCTTTTCTCTCCTTCTCTCCTTCCTTCTCTCATCTCTCCTCTCTCCTTCTCTTCTCTCTTCTTTTCTCTCTTTCTCTCCTCTTCTCTCCCTCTCTCCTCTCCTTCTCTTCTCTCCTCTCTTCTCTCCTCGAGCCTCTCCTTCTCTCCTCTTCTCTTCTCTCTTCTCTTCCTCTCCTCTTTTCTCTCCTTCTGTCCTTTCTTCTGTCCTCTCCTCTTCTCTTCTTTCTCATATCGTGTGTTTTTTGTTTTTCTTCAGGTTGTTCTACGAGCCGGTCACCACTCCGTGTGGACACACATTCTGCCTCAAGTGTCTGGAGCGCTGCCTGGACCACAACCCCAACTGCCCCCTGTGCAAAGAGAACCTGTCCGAGGTGCGACCGCCTCCCACTGTCTGTCCTCCTCATTCCTCCTCTTCCATCCTTCTTTTCTCTCCGTCTTTCTTTTCTCTTTAATCTCTGCGTCAGTGTCGGTAAAACAGAATCATTTTCTCTGACCTCGTGTGAATCGTCGTCCTCAGGTTGGACCTTTAATCCGCTGGACGAGACTCTGGAGTTTTTCTTTCACTATTTTGTCTAGAAATAAATGTAGTTACTTAAGCCCTTTTCTACGGAAGCCGAGAGGGGTCACGCCAAAGGCAAACGCCGCAACAACACGACAAAAAGCCGCAACAACACGACAAAAAGCCACAACAACACGACAAAAAGCCACAACAACACGACAAAAAGCCACAACAACACGACAAAAAGCCGCAACAACACGACAAAAAGCCACACAACAACAACAACACAACAAAAAGCCACAACAAACCAAAAAAAAGCCACAACGGAAATGACCACGGGACTCAATTTTAATGCAAACGGCAAAAGCCACAACACATTCAAAAGCCACAACACATTCAAAAGCCACAACGGAAGTGACTGCGGGACTCTATTTTACGACGGACCGATCAAGCGGCAAGTGAAGAAGAAGAACTACAACGTGAAACGAATAATGATAAAACAATAAATGACTTTTACTTACGTTTCCAACTTCTCCGTTCCTTTACTTTTCACGTTGTAGTTCTTCTTCTTCACTTGCCGCTTGATCGGTCTGTCGGAAAATAAATTCCCGCAGTCACTTCCGTTGTGGCTTTTTAATGTGTTGTGGCTTTTTTTTGTGTTGTGGCTTTTGTATTTGTTGCGGCGTTTGCGTTTGTCGTGACCCCTCTTGTCTTCTGTACTATTCTCACGGGATCAGTCCAACCTGAGGACCTGAACCTGAAAATCTGAGGTGATTTCAACAAGAACGGCCAAAATGATTCACCTGTGAAATGTCACTTAACAGTTCTCAAAAATCTGCTTGATTCTTCTAGATTTTCTTTAAAAATGAAAATAGATTAGTAGATTTTTTTTCTTGTTCTGTAACTAACTAAACTACGCCCGTGTGCCCGCAGTACCTCGCCAACCGCGGCTACAACAAGACGCTGCTGATGGAGGAGGTGCTGCAGCGTTACCTGGGAGACGAGCTGGCGGACAGGAAGAAGATCCACGAGGAGGAGATGAAGGAGCTCTCCAAGTACGACACAAACACAAACTCTCCTCACAACTGTTCTGCAGATACTCACGATTCCTCTGACAAATGATCCTCCTGAGTCTGTGGTCGTGGAGATGTTTCTGAGTCTGTGGTTGTGGAGATGTTTCTGAGTCTGTGGTTGTGGAGATGTTCTGAGGTCTGTGAGTCTGTGGTCGTGATGTTTCTGAGTCTGTGGTCGTGGAGATGTTCTGAGTCTGTGGTCGTGGAGATGTTTCTGAGTCTGTGGTCGTGGAGATGTTTCTGAGTCTGAGTCTGTGGTTGTGGAGATGTTCTGAGTCTGTGGTTGTGGAGATGTTTCTGAGTCTGTGGTCGTGGAGATGTTCTGAGTCTGTGGTCGTGGAGATGTTCTGAGTCTGTGGTGTGGAGATGTTTCTGAGTCTGTGGTCGTGAGATGTTTCTGAGTCTGTGGTCGTGGAGATGTTTGAGTCTGTGGTCGTGGAGATGTTTGAGTCTGTGGTGTGGAGATGTTTGAGTCTGTTCGTGGAGATGTTTGAGTCGTGGAGATGTTTGAGTCTGTGGTGTGGAGATGTTTCTGAGTCTGTGGTGTGGAGATGTTTCTGAGTCTGTGGTTGTGATGTGAGTCGTGGAGATGTTTGAGTCTGTGAGTCTGTTGTGGAGATGTTTGAGTCTGTGGTTGTGGAGATGTTTGAGTCTGTGTCGTTGTGAGATGAGTCTGTGGTCTGAGTCGTGGAGATGTTTCTGAGTCTGTGGTTGTGGAGATGTTCTGAGTCTTGTGTGGATGTTCTGGGAGTCTGTGGTCGTGGAGATGAGTCTGTGGTTGGAGATGTTTCTGAGTCTGTGGTTGTGGAGATGTTTCTGAGTCTGTGGTTGTGGAGATGTTTGAGTCTGTGGTTGTGAGATGTTTGGTCTGTGGTTGTGGAGATGTTTGAGTCTGTGGTGTGGAGATGTCTGAGTCTGTGGTGTGGAGATGTGAGTTGTCGTGGAGATGTTTCTGAGTCTGTGGTTGTGGAGATGTTTCTGAGTCTGTGGTCGTGGAGATGTTCTGAGTCTGTGGTCGTGGAGATGTGAGTTGTCTGGAGATTGAGTCTGTGGTCGTGTTTTGAGTCTGTGGTCGTGGAGATGTTTGAGTCTGTGGTCGTGGAGATGTTTGAGTCTGTGGTTGTGGAGATGTTTCTGAGTCTGTGGTTGTGGAGATGTTTTGAGTCTGTGGTTGTGGAGATGTTTCTGAGTCTGTGGTTGTGGAGATGTTTCTGAGTCTGTGGTTGTGGAGATGTTTCTGAGTCTGTGGTTGTGGAGATGTTTGAGTCTGTGGTTGTGGAGATGTTTCTGAGTCTGTGGTTGTGAGATGTTCTGATGTTTCTGAGTCTGTGGTTGTGGAGATGTTTCTGAGTCTGTGGTCGTGGAGATGTTTCTGAGTCTGTGGTTGTGGAGATGTTTCTGAGTCTGTGGTTGTGGAGATGTTTCTGAGTCTGTGGTTGTGGAGATGTTTGAGTCTGTGGTTGTGGAGATGTTTCTGAGTCTGTCTCCTCTTCCAGCTTGAACCAGGAAGTGCCAATCTTCGTGTGCACCATGGCCTTTCCCACCATCCCGTGCCCGCTCCACGTGTTCGAGCCGCGATACCGACTCATGATCCGCCGCTCCATGGAGACGGGCACCAACCAGTTTGGCATGTGCATCGCCGACGACCTCAAAGGCTTCGCCGACTACGGCTGTATGCTCCAGGTCTGCTCCTCTTTCTGCTCCTCTGGGTTCTCTTCTTCTGGGTTCTCCTCCTCACAGAGCTGTGGAACATCTGCTTTCAGGTGCGTGATGTGAAGTTCTTTCCTGACGGCCGCTCTGTGGTGGACACCATCGGAGTGTCTCGTTTCAAGGTCCTGAGTCACGGTCAGAGAGACGGGTACAACACGGCCAAGATCGAGTACCTGGAGGACAAGAAGGTACAGCACCAGCCTCAGCTCGCCCTCCACAGACCTTACGAGTGTGTGTCTAACTGTGTGTGTGCTGCAGGTGGAGGGAGAGGAGCTGCTGGAGCTTCTGAAGCTCCACGACGCGGTGTACGAGCAGGCCAACAGCTGGTTCACCTCTCTGAGGGACAACATGAAGAGCCAGATCCTCAGTCACTTTGGGCAGCTGCCCGGCAAAGACCCCGACCCGCAGGTGAGAACCTCACACGGCCTCACGCGCCGTAACTCGCCCGTACCTCTGTCCGGTGTCTGACCTTCTCTGTGTCCCAGGCCAGTCCCAGCGGTCCGGCCTGGTGCTGGTGGCTCCTCGCCGTCCTGCCCCTGGAGAACCGAGCCCAGCTCACCATCCTGGCCATGACCTCCCTCAAAGACCGCCTCATGGCCATCCGCCGGGTCCTGATCTTCGTCACCCGCAAGCGCTCGCGATGATCCCCACCGACGAGCTCCGCTCTGGGCCTCACGCCAGGCCCTGCGCCTGGTCCTGTGCAGGGCCCCGCGCCGGGCCTGGTGCCGGGCCCGGCGCCGGGCCCGCCGGGCCTGGTGCCGCTCACTCTGACCTCTGTTTTCTATGCACCACTTCATCTCCACACGCACATGTGAACACACTCTTACCTCTTTTCCACCGTCACTGGGCCAATGCAAACCTCCTGTTACACTGTGGACTCGTGCACTTCCAGGTGATGCAAATCCAGAAGAACCACACTGTCTGAGCTTCCTCGTGAAAACGGCTGCCGCAGAAGTGTCCTACACACGTGGACTCTGGACAAACTTTAGACCCGGATCGACCAAATCGTGTTGCTCTGACTTCCTCAGATAAACAGTATTGCCTTTACCTGAAGTAAAAATCCCTGTTTTTACTCTTAAGACAGAAACCTGAGCGATGGAGACTGAGCCAGGTGGAAAAGAGGTAACTGCACGAGCTCTGAGGCCTCCGATTCTGCTCCTTCAGCTGTGCAAGGCCACAAATAAAACCTGTATTTCTTTTGGAAAAATTTTGTAATTTTGTCAGAATCCCTAAAAACACAGAGCACTAGACACACTTTAAAACTCCAAAGCTTTAGTTCTTACTTAAAAAAACCTAAACCTGACCCCAACAGAATTTGGACAAGTTTACATTTATATTCATGCCACTGAAAACTGTTCTGTCTGGATCTAAACCTGGACCAAAGAAACCAGGACAAACCCTAAATCAAATACTTTTAGGAAAAAAAGAAAGACAAAACAGTTCTGACAACTCAAAAGCAACGGCCACGTTTACATGAGAGCTTTAATTCCAAATAAAAATAAATTCTACTTTAAATAGACCACGATTATTCTCAGTTAAACTTAACTCTGAAGTAAGTGGGTGGTTTATTTCGACGTTAAAGCCGAGTTAATTTATTCCCTGATTATTTAAACGTTTATTGTTCTTAAAAATAATCACACTCGTCGGGTCTGAGGCTCTGTGAGGTGGAGACCCGGAGCGAACGTTGTTACGCTGGAAGAACTACAAATAATAAAAACATAAAAACATGAACCTTTTCAAAGAGAGAGCGGAAAGGTTTGAAGGAGGAGGGTCCACGGACAGAAACGCCGCGCAAACGAGCGACAACGGTCGAAGCAGGAGCGCGGACAAAACGACGGCGGCTCGGACCCATCGAACCGTCGGCCTCCTGTCCAATCAGAACCTCACGCCCCCAGACGCCGGGCGGGATTCAATAAAGACGATTGAACATGTTTTCCGTGGAAACCTCAATTCGGAATTACAAGGTGTCCCAAAAAATGTGACATTTCACAGGTCAATAATTTTGTCAGTTCTTGTTGAAATCTGCTCAAATTTTCACAGAACGTTTAGAAACGGATGAAGATTTGATTTGTGAAGTTTTATTTTTGTTGTGTTTTCAGGTTGAGTCGTTCTCTCCCAAACAGAATCATTTTGTGTCTTGAATTTGAAACATTTGGAAAAACAAATTTAGACTTCGTATCAAAAATGTGCAGAGGAAGAATCTGGTGACACCAAACCGTCACTCGAGGAATCTGGGTTTCCAAGCTTGTTCTTCTTACGAACTCTTGGGGCTTCAAGAGTTTTTATTTTATTTACGTGTTTATTTTGGGGCAGTAAGAGATTTATTTACCTTCTCACACAAAGGAACAAGTAACATCAGTCAAATCATAACCGAATCAACACAACAAAAACATTTGCCCAAAAAAGAGCAGGAAGAAGAAAACTTTAACTTTTCACGACTTTGCTCTTGCTTCTCTTCTGACGTCGACGTTGGTTCCAGATTCTTCCTCTGCACATTTTTGGTTCCAAATGAGTTTTTCCAGATGTTGTGTTGAAGTTTCAGTCTTTGGTGAGTTTGAGCAGCAGATTCAAAACACAAAATGATTCTGTTTGGGAGAGAACGACTGAAAAACATTGAGATTAGGAATTTATTTACGGACAAAACGGTGAAATAAAAACTCTAGAATCATGTAGAGGGTTAATACGAACGTTTAAGACCAAAACGACGAGACTCACAGCAGCAGCGACGAGGATTTTATATAAACTGTTAATGGAAAATGAATTTAATCCAACACAAAGTCAAAAATACTCAGAGAAACTCACCTGAACTTGGCGAGATGTTTTGTTTTTTTTTTCGCTTTTTTTTACGTTCAAAATTCTGGCATTTTCCCAATTCTCAAGACACAAAATGACTCAACCTGAAAACAGAAGAAAAATAAATCTTGATCTGTTTCTAAATATTCTGTGAAAATTTGAGTTTATTTCAACAAGAACTGACAAAATTACTGTTGTGTGAAATGACCCTCTGTAGAATGTCAAAGGAGAATATTTTAATTTCGAACTCTTTAATTCAGAATTACTAAACGTCATGTAAACGTGGCCCGTGCGAGTTGTTGTTTTTCGTGCTGCGCTTTTCGTTTTGAAGCGCAGTCGTTGGCCTGTGGCGCCCGAGCGGAGCCTCCCGCGGGCGAGGACGGCGCCTCCTCTCGATGCAGACCTCCCGTCACCCGAACACCACGCATTTCTACCGACTCATTTCACCTCAGACTTTTGGTTATGAAGGAGCAGCCGCAGCGGGAACGAGCCAACGCACCGGACTCGGCGAGGGATTCTGGGAGGAGCGGAGGAAACGGCCGTCAGAAAGTGATATTTAGTCACTTTTTTAAATTATTATTTTTTAAACTGTGCGAGGAGGAGACGTTTTTAGCCAAGTTTACTCGAACGAACACGCAGAAATCAAGTCGGAAACTCAAAACTTGAAGGAAAAATGTTTAACCGCACTTAAAACAACGTAATATAAGAATTTAATTTGGATTTGGATCAACATAAATGAATGAGTTGGAAAAAGTGACAGGTTTAAGTCGGTTCAAACTTATTTTATATTTACTTTTGGAGAATTTAATGAGTCAAAACTTTCCAACATTTTTATTCTTATCTTTTATTTACGCAAAACTAAAACAAAATAATTACATTAACTAAAAATGAGGATAAATTGGCTTCAAATTAGACCAAAAACGATACTGGACTTAAAAAAAATTAATCTATACATATCTGGAAAAAAAAAATCTCAAATCTTAATGTAAAAATTTTTAGCTGTACTAAAAAATATATAATAATAAAAAAAAAAAAAAAACATGTTAACCCCTTTTTAATAAATCATGTCACACTTTTTCAATTAAATATTTTATGTTAAATGAATGTAAATATTTTAAACGGATCGTTGTAAAATGTGAATTATTTGCTTTAGACTTGGTTTAAGTCGGTTTTAATGAAATTTATAATGAGGAATTTAAGATTTTCTAACATTTTTATGAATATTTTATTTACAAAACATTTATTTATGCAAAACTAAAAAAAAGAATTACAATAACTAAATACGAGGATAAAACTGCTTCAAATTAGACCACAAACGATATTGGATTAAAAAATAAATATCTGGAAAAAACAAAGTAAACTCAAATTTTATCTGTTCTCAAAAAAACTTAATATATTAATTAAAAAAACATGTTTAGCCAGTATGTCACTTTTTCAATTAAATATTTTATGTTAAATGAGCGTAAATATTTTTTAAGTAGGTTCAACACATAAAGTCTTGACTTATTCAATTCCAAAAATAAATGTACATACATATATAATAATTTTTATTCTTATTTTTTATTTGCAAAAAAAAAAAAAAAAAAAAAAAAAATCACATTAACCAAAAATTAGGATGAATTGGCTTCAGATTAGACTAAAAGCGAAAACTGATTAAAAAATGTGATATATTTGAAAGAAAAAATAAAAATAAAAAAATTCCACAGACTGTATCAAGAAGTGTTCAGTTCCAGTCAAATGAGGCTTATCGAAGGTGGCAGTTATAGGAGGGAATTTGGAGCCAGTTCCATTTTAGGAAAAGGAATTTATTTACGGAAAAAAAACAAAAAACAGTGGATTAATACGAACATTTAAAACCAAAACAAAGAGATTTTATATAAACAGTTTGTGGAAAAGTCAAAAACTCTCACTTGAACTTGGCGAGATTTTAGTTTTCACGTTTTTTCCGCTCAAACGTCTCCGCACAGACGTCATTTTCCCGGCGTTCCTCCTCGACCCCTCGCCCGTCCGCCCTCTGCCTCTGCACATCGTCACTTCCCCCCCCCCGGTTTATTTCACAACCCGAACTCAAGACTGACGCGTGGCCACAGCGCCCCCTGCTGGCTGAGAATGTACTCGTACGTCACGGTTTCTCCTCCTCGTCCTCCTCGTCCTCCTCGTCCTGCGCTCTTCTTCCTGGATCCGAGCGGCGCCGGCGAGGTTGGACGGGACGCGGCGCAGACAGACTTTTGTGGCGGTAGCATATCGATCGGGAGTCGGCTCGGCGCGTCCGGATGTTTGTCTCTTTGTGATTTTCTCTGTGTATTAATGTATCTTGGAGAGGCCTTTTATTGTTAATTTAAAGAGAAAAAAAAAACGGTTCGCTCTTTCCTTTCTCTCGTTTTGTCTTTTCTTTCTCTCCCATCTGTCATTTTCACTCAGCGCTTTTTTTTTTTTTTTTACACCAAGAACCGAACTGTTCTGGACAGAAACTACGAATGTTTTTTGGGACGTTGTAATGTCAGATTTCAATATTTTTAGTCGCATGAAGGGTCCATCACCTGCTCGTCTCCGTGGAGATGTTTATTGCTTTGTCTAGAATGTTCCGCAGTGGAGATTAAGCTCACTCTGTGTGTCACATTACGGGTCAGATCTGTGGAGAGGCGCTCTTACTCACGAAGAATTATTGTAAAGAGTGTGACGTCGTTTCACAGGTCAATAATTTTGTCAGTTCTTGTTGAAATCAGCTCAAATTTTCACAGAACGTTTAGAAACGGATGAAGATTTGATTTGTGAATGTTTTATTTTTGTTGTGTTTTCAGGTTGAGTCGTTCTCTCCCAAACAGAATCATTTTGTGTCTTGAATTTGAAACATTTGGAAAAACAAATTTAGACTTCGTATCAAAAATGTGCAGAGGAAGAATCTGGTGACACCAAACCTGTCACTCGAGGAATCTGGGTTTCCAAACTTGTTCTTACGAACTCTTGGGGCTTCAAGAGTTTTTATTTTATTTACGTGTTTATTTTGGGGCAAGTAAGAGATTTACCTTCTCACACAAAGGAACAAGTAACATCAGTCAAATCATAACCGAATCAACACAACAAAACATTTGCCCAAAAAAGAGCAGGAAGAAGAAAACTTAAACTTTTCACGATTTTGCTCTTGATTCTCTTCTGACGTCGACGTTGGTTCCAGATTCTTCCTCTGCACATTTTTGGTTCCAAATGAGTTTTTCCGAATGTTGTGTTGAAGTTTCAGTCTTTGGTTTGAGCAGCAGATTCAAAACACAAAATGATTCTGTTTGGGAGAGAACGACTGAAAAACATTGAGATTAGGAATTTATTTACGGACAAAACGGTGAAAGAAAAATGCCAGAATCATTAATACGAACGTTTAAGACCAAAACGACGAGACTCGCAGCAGCAACGACGAGGATTTTGTATAAACTGTCAATGGAAAATGAATTTAATCCAACACAAAGTCAAAAATACTCAGAGAAACTCACCTGAACTTGGCGAGATGTTACTTTTCGATTTTCTTTAACGTTTAAACTGCATCACAATCTCAATGTGTCAGCAGATTCAAGACAAAATGATTCTGTTTTGGGAGAAAACGACTGAAAAACACTGAGATTAGGAATTTATTTACGAACAAAACTGAAAAAAAACAGAAACATGTAGAGGGTTAATATGAACATTCAAAAACAAAAACTAAACTTACAGCTGGTCCCTGTCCCACTTTGACTTTGGACGTGGATTTTTTTATTATTTAAATTTTTTGTCAGCTGTAAAAAAAAAAAAAAAAAAAAAATTCAAAGTAATTTTCTTCATTTGCTGAGAGATAAATTAGCTGTAAATGGATTTTCAGTTCAAAATAAATCTGTTGTCTAGTCCTACTAACTAAAGGTGCGTTGTGTAACTTTCCCGGTGGCATTAAACCTTCCGGTCTTCATCTCCCATCAAACCAGAGGCAGTTCCAGGTCAGATCTGTGGAGCGGCGTCCGCGCTCATTCAGAATGTCGTTTTTTTTCTCTGGATTTTTGAGCTTTAAAT